TTGTATCCAGTAATCGTAGGTATGTTGAATTCAACGTTTGATATGAATAGAATCGAGAAAGTGAAGAAAAATTACTAAGAATTTTGGGAGTAAGAGGTAGAGATTTCTATGTTCAAAGAGTGCACTATTTAATTGAGATAAATATAATTTATGTTCAACAATATTGTGGGTGCTTAGCCCGTCTGATGAAGATTGCACGAACAACTGCATACTTTGTAACTTTTAGCTCTTTAAAGGGTTTGGAACTTTAAACCTTGACTTGTTTGAGAGAAGCAATAAGTATAAATATGCTGTGGTAAAGAAATAATTTTTTTAGAGTGAAAAACTTTTTTTTGCCTAGTTATGCTTAGACTTCCAAACGTTATCTATACATTTCAAAAAAAAAAACCTAAGGACTCATTCTTTATGCGCCAACGTCTTGCATAAACATATTTTTTTTTTAATGAAATATACACTACGCCATATATTCTCATGGTTTCAATATAACAAGTGGATCTTTCAATTGCTTCATCATTTTTTAATTAACAAAAAAAAAAAAAAATTAAACTCACCACAATATCATATTTAAGTGGTGAGTTTATGGGCAAACGTAGTGTATATTGATACATTTTAACACCACAGCGTACAATTTCCGTGGAACGCCAGAGCGCTGTTAATTTCGTAAAGGTATCACTAGGCAATTTTGAGCAATATTTATTTACTAATGCTATTGAAGTGCATAAATCTACAGATGCACCGGTTAGTAAATCCGGTTGTGGTTTGTAAGGCAGAATACAGTTAACATACTGATCCGCCAGATTATGTTCCTCTTCAGGTGGCTCAAAATTAGCACATTTTTGCAGCAACATCTGCAAAAAAAATTTATATATAGCAGTTACTTAATATGACGTTGAAAAAAAAATAAAAAAAAAACAATACCTTTTCGATTTCTCTATATTGTGCTAATTGATCAACGATTCTTATTGTTGCTGCATGCATATTTAATGATTCATTTTCATAAGTTTGAAATTCAGTAAGTGGAATCAACTTGATCCCTTTCTCCATGAGTATGCATTGAAAACGTTTCTTCTTTTTCACTTTATGTATTTCATTGGTATCTACAACTTCACAACTCTTTTTGTATTCATCACTGGGATTGGACATGGAGTTTTCCGCCGTTATAGGGCTTTCATTTTTGATTTCATAATCCAAGCCATTTGTGATACATTTTAAATTTTTATCTTCTTGGAGATCAATAGTTAGTTCCTCTACAGTACAGTTTTCATCTTTTATTTCTTTTAAGTGAATATCGCTTGTCGTGGGAGGTTTATTTGTTAAAACTTCAGGATTAAGTATTTTTACAGTACCACGCGGTGCATCAAATATATACTGATTGGGTTTACTTTTACTTTCAGTATCCGAATTATCGGTTATATCCAAATCTTCACCTTCATTATCACTTAACTTACAAGTAAGGAAATGACTTTCATTGCACAATTGCTCATTTTTATTATGCGGCGTATAGGTTGAAATGTCAAATTCTGGTGCAACTAATATCACATGATACGCAGGTGTAGCTCTAGCTCTACCCTTACACTGTACATAGCTACGATATGTTGTTGGAGGATCCCAGCGTACAACTAAATTGCACTTTGGCACATCAATACCTTCCTCCAGCACTGAAGTACCAATCAATACATTACAATCATGTATACGAAATTTTTTTAGTACTTCTTCTTGAAGCCGATGCTCGGCTTCTGCCTCCTTGGGTTCAGTAACAGGATCCGCAACACGATCGGTAGTATATTGGCATCTTAGAAATTTTAAATCTGGATCATGTCTGCTCATTTCGGCCAGCAAATCGAATAGTACCCGAGCAGTATGATTCATATTACAAAATATTATAGCACATAATGTATCGGAACCATCATCTCTATCACGCATTTGTCTACGTGTGAATGGTCTTCTACGCGTACGACCGTGTGCTCCACCATGTCGCCTATGATGCGAATTGTGTTGGTGCTTCTCTCCTTTTTTGTTTGTATTTATTTTTAAACTCTTGCTTAGAGTTTTACTTAGCGCATCAGTTGTGTCAGTTATCTTAATAATTGAATCCAAATTATCGACTATTGAACGTGATTCCAATTGATGTCTTGTGATATTTTCTACATTTTGACAACTTTGTTCTACGGCACGCGATATACGTTGAAAATCCATTTCATCTAATTCTGTGTTCATTTTTTTTATTTTTTCATTGTCTGTAACAAAGTCTGTGGGCTTGAATAATCTTAGCACTTCCAGCAAACGCAAGACCTTCGGACTGGAATAACGTTCTACAAGCTTTTTGTGTTTGGAAGTTTTACGAAATGTGGTTTCACACACGGCATGAATCTCTATGAGTGCTGTATTTACCATACTCAAAAGCAAGAAGTGACGTTCGTGTGGTGTCTTTATTTTTCGCCTTTCAATTGTTTGAAATAAACTAAGAGCAACGCGATCAGTAGCCCAAGGACCCATCTCATGCAATACTGTCATTATTATATCAAGAAACTCAAGCGGTTCCTTTTTCGGATCAGGTATATCTGCAAAATAATATGAATTTATGAATTTGTATATCTATTGTATATTAAAATGAATACTAAGTACGTTAATATTACTAAATATTTAAAGGCTATATAACTGTGTACTTTAATAATTAAGGATGTGAACATAAAAGATCTATTATGCTCGACTTTGCCTGGATTTTAAGCTTGTAATTCTAATAATAATTTTATTATTGATTGGTTTGTTTTAGATACAGCAAGTGTTTAGACTGCTGAGTGTGTACGGTGTAAGCAGAATCTATTAACTGAAGATTAACTCCACCCCAAAAGGATTTTACAAGTAAATCTCAGCGGATAACAGCAACAACATTGATACATTAATTTTGAACATAGACCCATTCACACTAACGGTATGTTTTTTATGCCATATATATCATATATGCAAATACATAACTCAATATCAGGGTACAGTTTAGTTAATAAAAAACTATATTCTTAATGTGTGCCCAAACTGTAGCTACACCCTTTATGATGTCGCCCAGCTGCTTTTCCCCACGGTGTCACTCATCCTATTAAAATGCCTAGGTTTTCGGGTTCACCGAGTATGGTTTCAATTACAATCCCTCCCATCCATTATCCGCTCTTAATCGCAAATAATGCCCTTCTCTTTCACACTTTTGTGTAACCAAATCCTAACCCAAGTATGCTTATTTGTAGTTCCTTTCATATTATTTGTTACATAGATTTTCTCGAACCAAAACAACATTAAATTATATATAAAATTTATAACTCTTTATAGCAATATAATCAAACCTTTAAGCTCTTCAAGGAATTCTTCAGTATTATATATTTCGGTAGGATCATAGCGATGGTCTTGTAGAAACACTTTCCGTGTTGAAATAATGTCCTCAAGTAAAAAGCTCAGTTCATCTTTATTATATGGTTTACACTGCACAATATATTCGTATGGTTTTGAACAGTATCTGCAAAAAACAAAAACAAAATATATTAAAATAAACTCAAAATTATATATATAATAAGTATAACAAACAGTTTATTACCTAAGTACGGTAACAATATCACTAGCAGTTTCAGCTTTACACAACGTATTTCTCTCCAGCGTATTTAACATTGCACTCAACTGCTGTAGCGAACAGCCTGCACTGTGTAATGGACCAGCTAAACCTAATATTTTCGGTGACGATACGCCATAACTATTATGCATTATAATAGCAAATAGCGGTAATATCTCCGTATACACATTAACAATGTGACAATCTTCTAATATTAAAAGGTTGATATTTTCCAATTTTAAAACTTTACTTTTTAGTGCAGCTATGCATAAACTAGGATGCACCATATAAACATGATAATAAGTGGAGAATATGTTAACATTTTCTTTATCATTAACTTGTTGGAAGACTTTTAAATCCGTAAGATGATCCAGCATGGTTGATATGGATATTGAGTTACTATTACATGTAAGATATAAACTAATTTTAAGCGTTTCGCGTGCTTCTCTAGACAATTCTTGCAAGAGTTTTAATGCTATAAATTCTTTTGAGGACTTATGTCCCAAACATATAATGGTATTTTCTTCATATGCAGCTGCCACCAATTCAACTTGATAGTCTCTGGGAGTAAAAGCAGTTGTGTGTACATTTTCGCACCAATGGAATGCCATGTAAACAAAAGTTCCTACAGTGTGGTGGAATTATAATAAATTGCACTATATATATTACACTAATATTTCTTGCAAAATATTTGTTTAATTAATTTTTTAATTTATTTTACAATAATTTTAATTGAAATTCTTATAACTATTATTTTTACGACCGGTTAAACAAATCAAAAGCTGTCAACAGCTGATATGCATTCACAATAATTACTATAAAGAAAAAAATCACAATAGGTTTGAGATGATTTTATAAGATTAATTTATCTTAGCGTCATATGACAACCAATTTTCTTCCGCCAAAAATGTGTAATGCCATTTGCTTACACAACGCACGTGGATCGACATGTTTAAGGGAAGAAAGCTGAAAGCGTGCTTTAAATGTGGATTTAAAATTGATAAGATTCTGCAACCAATTTGGGTGTGAAAATGATTATAACACGTGCCAGTTGTAACATTGCTAGTAGACTGTGGTGCTAAGAAATTTATTAACATGTGCGGAACTGCATCAGCATAAAAACGAATATCAGGAATTGTCCATAAGGAATGAAATTAACAATTCTTCATATGGATTATGCTGTAACATTCAACTTCGCTAGCATGTGTGCATATTTAAAGATCTAATATTTCAATGAACTGTTGGTTTCAATGAACTTTTACGACTAATAAATCTCAAGCTAGATGAATGGTTCCAAGAGGGGCCGGGTCAATGTGTCGGAGCCACTTGTTGAATTTCATAACTAAATTTCGTTCAACACTTCCAAAAGGGACTACAACAACAGCAAGCTAGATTGATATAGTGCAATAAAGTACAGAGTATTGGCCATGTTTTATTTATTGGTGAAGACGTTAAATATGCAGTTATTTAGAACCGTTTTTGAAAACTGCTAATCTCCAACGGTAGCGACGCATGACACTTCGGTTGTTGTAGTCTAGTAGTTTAGAAATAGACTATTTGCAGCTGCTCAATGTCCAAAATGCTAAACCATAACTTTTATTTAAAAGGTAAGTAACTAATAAATTAAAATAACTATCAATTCTATATTCACACAGATTAAAAGTACTCATTAAAAAACTCAACAAAAAAAATATTGTTAATTAATAATTAAATATAGCGGATTTAAAATTAATGTCATTATTTAATCAAAAAAAAAAAAATATGTATATAGAATTTTCTTAATGAGTGTTCTAATACTGCTTCGATATCTATTTATGTGAACATAATATATATATGATGATAATTCATAACCCACAACTGATTAAAGATGCTGAAATCTTTTAACATGCATCACCATCTGAAATAAACTTAGTAAATTAAACCATACTACAATATTTTTATACGATACGATAATTATAAACTTTTTTTTATCTTTCTAGCTAATACATAAATCATCGTACTGATAATAAAAGCATTTTATGGAACAATCTACCTTAAGCTAAATGAGTTCATTGTCATCATATCTATTGCAGTTTTTATCAAGCTTTATTTTTGCAAATAGAACATTGTTAGAATATCGTTACTTTGAAAAGGTAAATAAACTGAAATACGTACAGATTCATATATGTCTTAAAAAAGTGATGATATTTTCTCACCCTAAACTGATAAATAATGCAGAAATATTCGAACATGCATCACCATCTGATAATATATATAAAGATTTTAATAAAATTTTGTAGTTCAAAAAACAATACTAAAATTAAAATTTCTTATTACAGATTTTATCTGATCAATGACGATGTGGCTTTGAAAGCAACTATAAAATGCTCGTTTAATTTCAAGAAGACTGCTTTACGATAATACATATTATAATTAATAAAATCAATAATATTTGATGGAATAACGATGCTTTGAAAAGGTAAATAAACTGAAATACTTATAAATTTATATACGTCTTAAAAAAATGATGATATTTTCTCCCCTAAACTGATAAATAATGCAGAAATCTTTTAACATGCATCACCATCTGATAATATATATATATATATATAATTTAATAAGATTTTGTAGTTCAAAAAGCAATACTAATATTAGGATTTCTTATTACAGATTTCATCAGATCATTGACGACGTGGCTTTGAAAGCAAGAATAAACTGCTCGTTTAATTCCCAAAAGACCGCATACTAGTATGATAATACATAGCATAATTAATAAAATAAATAAAAATTTTGATTAAATAAATACTTTACGATTTTATTTAATATCATCGAATTTATTCTTTTTACCAATTTATGATCATATACTTATTTTTCATCAAACAGTAGAAAAGTAGAACGATCTGATACTCATTTTTAATTTTTGAATTTTTTTATCCGTTTCAGAATATTCTGGATTAGTAATTTTATTTACTATTTTTAATACAATAGTTGGGTTCAATTTTATTTGATAAGTGTAAAAAAGAATCATAAATTCTTAGCATCACATAAAATATATATGCCTTGACTTCGATAAACTTTGTTTTGGAGTTCTTGATTGCAGATTACAACAAGTTGTTTACATTGTTGAAGTTCATCATCAAATGTATTTACAGCTCGATGTAAACTATAGATTTAACCTATATCATGATGAATTCTTTAATCCGTACTGTCGTTGTTATAGTGCCGAATAAGTTTTTGCACGATTATCGATTTCCCATCCACAATATTCTGTCGTCACTTACTTCCTGAACTTCACTTCCACTTTTCATAGCAATATCAGTCTTGGTGGACGAATTTCTTCAATTCTTAATGCATACAGAATCCATAGAAACGTAGCCTTGCCTATTTGTGGATAAACACGACAGTCATCGCTTCTAATTTGACAGACACGAGTTCTAAGCACTTGCAGTCCAAACAAATTATATACGGACTATAAACTAATTAAATAAAATTCGATTATTTCCAAAGACCACTGATGAAGAGTACTTGGCATTACTCGAAACAGCGTTGTATGGTCAGCCAAATTTCAATAAATTAAAAATAAAAAATTTTTGTCTTTGTCCTTTCTTTGCTATTCGAATCCGTCTAACTTTTAAGTAGATGAAGTCCTTTGCATTATAATAATATAATACTATATCGTATTATTTAAATATTAAAAATTATAGTAGTAATTACTTTCATAAGATATATATATAATTGATCTCCATTAATTAATTTATGTTATCTCCATTTTTATTTAGAATTAAACGATGAAGTATTTATATATTTTTTATAATTAAAGTTTACCTACACATATATCGTTAGTAACTTTTATTGGTTTGTGATAATTAAATTCGTTAATCAGTTACGTCAATTAACAAGATACTCAATATATCGAGCATAATTTTTTACATAAAAGTTATCTATAAACACAGACAATAAATTAAAAATTATCATTTTCAAAATGCAACCATGCAAACATAAATGTCAAAAAACAATGGCAGACATTCTTGTGTTATTGTTGTTTGCATAAACTATAAACTTAAGTGTAAACATATTTTTCTCGTATTTGCTATACAGTTCCACTGAATAATATTAATAGTAAAAATGGTAAAACCAGTCAAAGAAACAGGATTTGTTGTAGAAAAAATTATAGATAAACGTATCACAACAGAAGGCAAAGTTGAGTACTACATTAAGTGGCGCGGATATCCAAGGTATGAAAACTAAATATTAAAATATTTTTAGTATAAAGAAATTGTTTATATTTAGTTCAGATAATACTTGGGAGCCTGAGGAAAATTGTGATTGCCCTGCAATAATACAGCGCTTTGAAGAATCGCGTGCAAAGTCTAAAAAGCGAGGTGAAAAAAAGCCGAAAGTTGAAGAAATACAAAAGTCTCGTGGCTACGATCGTGGTCTTGCCATAGAGCAGATTGTCGGCGCAACTGATACAACTGGCGATGTATCATATTTAGTTAAGTGGCAATTTTGTGATGAATTTGATTTAGTGCCAGGGGCGCTTGTACGTCAAAAAAATCCAGAATTTATTATAGATTTTTTTGAACGTCGTTCACCTTTTCAACGTGCGATAAATGAACGCTTATTGGGCTTACCGGCAGATTTACGCATATATAATAACGACTTATCGCCAAACGATATGAAGTTGAACATGGCGGATATTAAGAGACCTATTGATAGCAACGATGCAAATGTGTCATATTCAATCCCCGTACCAGGGGTGGGTGATATTGCAATCGATGTACCAATTATTGATACAAAACCTATTTTACAGTAATAATTTTTTTTTATTTTTTTATTTTATAAGAATTAATACAGTAAAAAATTGTCATAAATACCTTTAAATTAGTTATAAGAATTAACACTTTTATTTGATTATTATTTTCGTGTTACAATTTTTTAAACTTTGTCTAAAAGTATATGGCCAAACTCTCCTTTTCTAAATATCTGTACAAAATTCTGCGCCGCATATAACATATCAGGCATGGTAATTACTTGGCCGTCATACCTTTTAATCTTACGTGTTTTTCCTAAGTTTTTTGCATGGTAAAATAAAAGTTCGGCTATATGATCTGTAGCATTTTTCAAACCAAGCACTTCTACATATTCAAATTTATTATGTTTATTAAGCCAGTACAACAAATAGTCTGCTATTTGGTCAATTCCTACAATGTGATCGGGAAAACAGCCTACTAATGCAAGTTTCATGCCCATTTCATCATCCGTGACTCTAGGCTCTAATATGCCGGGTGTATCAATCATATACGTTAATGGAGCTTCACATATTTTTATTTTTTCCAAAACTGATCGCGTAATGCCCGCTTCAGCACCAACAGCTGCTGCACTCTTCTTACCCAAGTTCTTGTTACGTAGAACGTTCAGTAAAGAACTCTTACCCACGTTAGGCACACCAATAACCATGACATTATAATCTTTTTCGTTCCTTCGATTGTAGCGATCAGATTCCACTATTAATTCTGTTATCTTTGGCAACAATTCTCTTGTTCCCTGACACTGTTGGTTTTTACAATTTGTAAATATGATATTTTTAATGCCGTTGTTTTTTAATTCATTTTCTACTTTACGCTGGTCACGTCTATCCACAAGATCTTTCTTATTCAGCACTAGAACATGTGGCTTCAAATCTCCTCCTGTTATAGTTTGTTCGAATTCAGGATTACGTCCAGAAAATGGTATGCGCGCATCGTGCACTTCTACTACGCAATCGACCATTTTAAGCCGTTGTTGCATTTGTTTCAAACCCTTTCCCATATGACCGGGAAACCAGTGTACAGCCTGTTTAGAAATCAGCTTATAGGTGCTCCGAAAACTCATAACTAATCCCGTTTTTAATAGTATTATTTTCTATAGTTTCCAACTGTCGCCGAATCGTTATTGTTTTTGTATTAAAACACATGATTTTGACATTACATGCCTTTGTGGATTGTACGGATGGAAGAAAAGTTGTTTCAATTTTGAATTTTTTTTTAACGAAAAAAAAAATAAATTTCAGATACACAAAAAATACTTGTTTTGAATTTATAAAAATGAAATTTAATAAAAGTTTAATTTATTTATGTAAATTTTATGGAATGTCAAACTATGGACTACTGTTTGTCGAATTTTTTTGCTCGAACGTAAAATCTTAATTTATATGTTGTTCGGTTCAATAACTTGTAGGCTATTATCCTCCTTAACCGTGTATTTCAACAAACTTTTATAATCTGTGAGCAGTTTTTTCCAATAACACTCAATATCTTCCATCCTCAAGTGAATCTTAACAAACTCATAGCCACGCATTGCAATCTGTTGCGCTATGTCATCATTTTCTTGAAAATAATTGAGTAAATTTTCTATTTCCTGCTCACTAGCATAACTTTTTACTGGAACATAGTGTACCCAAGGTTTAAGGGCAAAATAGAAAAACTCATTCCATTCATCGCCGACATGCAGTACCAATGATTTACACAAAAATAAATGTTTTAAACGGAAACTAGCCGCAACTCCACGGAAATTAAATAAATATTTATATTTGCAGTGATGCTTAAAATCAACTTCTTTGGCAGGCTCTGCATTTAAAGTGTCTTTTTTTGTTTTCCAAGCTTGGTTTTTTGTATATTGTGCGTTTAATAAATCTGGATTTTGGCGTGACAGCAATATCAAAGCATCACGCTCATCAGATGTACGAGAGCCACGAAAAAATCCTCGAGATTTTTTTTTGGCCCATGGCGTTTTCTCAGCGGCTTTTGTGATTTCTTCTCGCAGCAAATCCCAGCGTCCGATACCAGTTGGATACAATGAAATAGCTGGACCACCTGCCCAAAAAGACCAAGCAGGATACATTATATCCAAATATTCATTTGTTTTTGAAAATGAAAATACTGGTCCTTTTGTCTTAAACACTTTCTTTACTTGTGGCCAGTCTCGTGTATTTATGATTATGTCCATATCTGGTAATTCATTTACGAGTTTTAATAAAAAATGTTCAACGCCTTTGCAGCGCGTAGGAAACATACAATCCTCTTCGCGGTACAGTGTTTTATTGTAGATCTTGTAATGTGTACCTAACTTCGCGGCATCTGTTATCATTTGCCGTGTTATGCCATTACTCTGGTAAGGTTTCAAATCTCTTTTTATCACTTCTGCGTATAAACCACAAGTTGGTTCGTGTTCCATTGGGATCCATGGTTTGTATTCACTAAGAGCTTTGTGAATTTTTCTATATATTTCGTTTGAATCTAAAATGATTGTATATATCTAGATATGGTATACACATTTATGCAGGCAGACGCATACCTTTTCCATATTTTCTAGCTGAATCAAACAATTGGTTTTCACGTTCTTCGCCACACTCTGATTTATTGTCCGATACACATTGTTCATCGTTCAGAGAATTATCCGCCAGAACTTGTTGATGTAAGAAATTTAAGAAGACAAAGCATATCAAGGGCAATCTCATGTTTTAGTTTTGCAAAAACTTAATTACAACAATTGAGCCGGCAAATATAAACAAATTCTAATCTTTTGCAATGTTGCCACATGTAAGTAAATATTTTGTTGCAAAAAATTAAGTACAACGCTTAAACAATTTATGACATGAAGCGAAATAATGTCCTGCGCAGAGTATCACCTTCACAACTTCTAGTAAAAATGAATATTCTATATAATAGAACATTATATGAATTAAATATTCATATAGTCAATGTCACGAAAATTTTTTATTATTTAACTTAATAAGGTTATATTAAAAAATTAATAGATATTAAATAACGTATAATCAAAATTTGTGGTCGACGTAATATTAATATCAATTATAGATGAAATTAATAGATTACGCCTTTAAGTTAAGGACTCTGCCATCAGTCTTACCGATAAGCTAAAATTCTTAGGAGTTGTTTTTACTCAAACACAATTTCATACGTTAGTCATGTTATCAATATGCTACTTTTCGACTCCTTTAGCTTAAAAATGCACTATATGGACACAATCTGTGTTCAAAACTACCAACTAATACCGTCACTCTTTGTAAATCCATTTCTTATTTGGTCCGGAATCTCATTCACGTAAATGGAACGCATTCGAGTGTTTGAAAGGAAATTGGATGCATTACCTACATGCGCCGATCCAAAGGCAGACATTTTCTTAACTCCACTGTCTACAAGACTTTAGACATCAAGTGATTAAATGATCTTTTGTTATCCATATTGCAAAGATACTTAACCAACTATAAAGTGTTCGTCCTGTCATTTTTCACTCAGCTCAATTTCCCATAGACTTGTTAAATAATATAAAGTACATGCCTTTTTCAATTTCTTTAATCTGGACAACATCGTCCACGTCTATCTTTTAATCCCGCTCTACAATCATGCCAACAATAACCCTTTGCATAGTGTTTACTCTTAGTTAATACGTTTACTACGTTGCAAGAACATCTTCCCTTCCTTCCCCTTCCACTATTTACTTGTTTTCATTTTGTTTACACAAACAAATGTTTTAAATTTTGATAATTTTTTTCGTGGGGTAATTCATTTCTAAAGATTGCATTATTAAATCATTTGATATATTTAAAATGAGCTCATTTATATGAACCCACTTTCTATGGTAAAATATTCTCATTATAATTATTAGTGAAAATAACACATTACTGTATTATCTCAATGGGAAATTATTTATGCTGATGTGAATTTTGGTGTGCAAAGTCGTCACTCCAATTTTGCTTAATTTAATTTAGTAAATTTTATTAACAATTTAAAGAGCTTTCGTGCTTTTAAACATATTTAGAAACAAAACAAGGAAAATAAGAACAACAAAGTCCAATGTAGCCCTTAAAAATAAATTTCCTACAAGGCAAAACACCAAAATTTTAAATATTTATCATTTGTAATATATAAACAAACTAAGGTTGAGCTGCAAACAAACGTATTATGAAAGTAAATATGTAATCTTTGTTTTATATTATTGAATGTGTAATAATTATATAAAGTATATATATATATACATATTTAAATAAATTATATATGCAATGAAATTTCAAAAAAATGATTTGTGATTTAACTATTAAAATATGATTTGTGATTTAACTATTAATAACTATTAATTTATTATTGCTTTTATATTAAGCTGTTTTCATTTTCTGCGTTTTCCATGATCAGTTAATGAATTACTGCTAATACTATGTTCAGACACATCTTAATTTCACAAAAATCTTAATTTCATCTTCATTTCAGCGAAATTAAGTTGTTTTTTCCATACAAAATTCAGTTTTGAGGTTTGAACGAATGAAGGCAAATAGCTTTAATTTTGTTGAAACGAAGGCTTGCTGAAACGAATTAAGGTGCACTTCAAATGCAACCATGCGTAAGGTAAATTTTAAGGAAAGGACAAAGTTGAGATAACTGAAAAGTGATAATTTTTTTAAAATAATTGTTAATGACAGTTGACTTTAATAGAACCGGGAATTATTTTGAAAGTAGTCCAAATTTTTAAATTTGATTATAGAGGAAGAACTGTAATTGTTGTTAATTTAAAATAGACTGAAAAATAATAATTCACATACCTGAAATCCATTAAAGCTAATGAAACTATTGAATGGTAACCTTTATAGTTATGATAATCAACTTTTAAAATTTTCCAGATACAATTTTGTTTCGAGCATGTAATATTTATTATTTGATTTGTAAACAAAATACGTACGATTTCCTATAGCATAGTATAACAATAAAAAACTAAACATCATCTGCTTTTAATTGTATTGTAAATAAAATAAAGCTCTCTAAAACTTTTCCACAACTTTCTTATAGATAACAGGTTATTCACATGCAATAAGTAACTTATGTCGATGTAAACAACAAAATCTTAAACTTAATTAAGTAACTTACAAATTAAGTAGTTGAAACATAGTTTAGAACTAGATCGATAATAAATGATAAAGTCATTTATAGATTTTTAATTAATTTAGTAATTCTGTAATTAGGTTATAGCTGGACTTTTTTTTTTAAATGTTGCTCATGACTAACATTTTGTTTAAAATAGTTATCGAATATGTACAAAAATTTGCTAAACAATTATTAACAGCTGATTTTTGACATTTTAGCATTGAAATGCACTGTTCAACACTGCAAAAATTGAAACAAAGTGGCATATTCCGTATTTTTTATTTCATTTTGAACGTCTTCTAGTAAACAGGTTTTGTTACCTTTTTCAACATTAAGCAGTTTTATCATTGTTTCGCTTTAGCGTGCCTATTCGCTCACCTTCTTTTTTCTAATCAGCAAAAAGTTTCATGTTTTGCATTAAAACGATACGAAAACGACCACGACGAACAAATAAGCCTCAAAAAGGTTCCGTGTAAAAATTTATTATTTGCGAAAAAAACTCCATTAAAATAAAATATTAAAATAAATTTTCAATATATTCGAAAGCACATTTTTTTTTTGGTAATCTCAGTGAATAATAGTTATAAAAAAAGATTTGCTAAAGGAAAAATAAAACGCAGTGAAAATAACAGTGAAAAATAAATCACGTAAATTCATGAAAAACCATTGTCATAATTTATTTATTAAACGAAAGGAGATTAGTTAAAAACAAATATATATTAAAAGAAGAAATAAATTATAAAACAGTGGTTAAAAAACGAAGGAAATAACAAATGAATTGTGCGTATTAAATGGAATAACAGTATTTCGTAATAAATTTTACATCGATTGGAGAGATTGGGGAGGAGAACCACTTGCAAGGTGTGAGGAGACACTTTCCTGTGAGGAAAATAATAAAAAATTTTGTTGAGAATATTGCAAATTACTATACAAAGCAGAGGTAAGTTTATGCTATTTTGATAAATAATAACGTCTTATCAATTTTAAGTATTTTCTTAGAAGTATTAAAAAAAAAACATTAAATCGATTTTTAACAGTTCAAAGTCTGACGTAGTTGCCAAATATTTTGGTTATTTCTTTACCCATGTGAGGTGCCGTAAGGCAGTTGACAATTCTGTTATGCGCTTGTCAGTGTAATATTGCGTTGGAATACCTAATAAGGACAGCAGAGCCATTATGTTTGGTTGTAGTCATTTCTTAGCATTTATCCTAAACAATTAAAGTTTCCTAATAAGCAAAATGATCGACAGTCAAGAATTGCAAGCACGTAACTGAAAATAGCTAATCCCAAAACCAGAGACATTGTAATAATGTAATGGGAGTATATATATACACTATATATATTATAAATACGAGTATATTGATTTCTGTATATATAAATCAATATAGTTCTTTAATCAAAAATAAAGTTATTATTTTTCGATTAAGTATGTTTGCAATTCTTCATAAACTATGTATGCAATCCGTCCGCTTCACTTAGGAGTCATAGGTAATACTCGTACTTAAACCCAGAAAATTTTACCCAACTTTTATTTTAGAAAAAATTTTTATATTAAAAAAAACGATTTTAAATGATATATGCTTTCTTTTAATTATAATAAATCAATTATCTCAAGCTTTTGGTTTCACACCTCCAGTTAATATATTTTTGTTTTTGTTAATAAAATAAAATGAATGTCAAACGTTTATAATTAAAAATTTGAGAAACTCGTTATTGTCTTTGTAATTATATTTTTTTTATATCTTGCAAAAAATATATCTCATGGGTTAACTTACTCATTTGCTGAAGTCATCGGCAACTTAATTTCAATTGCCAAATGTGTAAATAATTAATTTTGTTTTTAAATATTTTGCAGCTTTCATTTTGGCAACTACTTTAAAAGTTATTTTGTGTTTTTGTAGTTCGGTTTTTATGGTTCAATGAATATTTATCCTCACCACTCTCTCAACCGCTCTTATATATGCAATAAATCTCTTTAAATATTTTGTTTTTAAAATAATAATAATTCAACAAATAAAATGTGATCATACTTTAGTATGAGACTAAACTATTAAAAAAAAAAATTTAAAGTTCATGAAAACAACATTCCAAGTTCATGTTGATATTATAATCTGTAGCATTACATTATGTTGTTGTTGTTGCAATCCGAGAAGAGCTATATTATAGGAGACATAAAGGGAATTACAATACAAAATACGATTACAAGGGTTAGGAAATGGATTAAGTAAGGGATAAGTGCGAAGAAGCGGTGTTGTTAGAGATAAAAAATCAATGATAGATGGTAGGAATTTAATTAAAATTAGCCTCAGTCTAAGCGGAAGAACATTGTCACTTTAATGGATTGGATCAATAGGGTAAAATTGGGTATTGAAACATGAGAATAGCTGGACGAAATATAAAGAGGCCCTATGCTCCACTGGGAGATAGGGATAAGAGAGAAACAGAGATTATAGAGAGTAGAATTGCAGTTGTGGCACATCTTGGAAATTGACGTATTTTTCATAACAAGTACCTATTGAACACCTGGCTGTGCCCTGAATTCAATTAGCCTAGACAATTTTTTTTAGGACTAGGAAGGCGTCATTCTTCAGAGATATTAAATGGATACGTGTTGACAACTTTGTTGCTGGGGTCTTGAGCATATAGCTTCACAGGGCTCTCGTTCTACT